GCAATGAAATTCGGTAAGAGTCTCAGCAACCAGATCGAGCAGACCCTGCCTGAATGGCAAGACAAGTTCTTGTCTTACAAGGAGCTCAAGAAACGACTTAAACTCATCGGTTCCAAAACCGGAGAAGATCGTCCGGTTAAACGTCTCCGGCTCGATTCCTCCGGATATTCGGTCGGAATGTCTAAAGAAGAGATCAGTTTCATCCAATTGTTAGAAGACGAGTTAGAGAAATTCAACAATTTCTTCGTCGAGAAAGAGGAAGAGTATATCATCAGATTAAAGGTTACATTTTTTTTTGTCGAATCAGATCCCCAAAATTGATTCCCTTTCTTCAAATATTCTGATTAATTCGTGTGTGTGATTACAGGAATTGCGAGATAGGATTTCAAAGGCTAAAGAATCAAAAGAGAAGATGATGATGATAAGGAGAGAGATTGTTGATTTCCATGGAGAAATGGTTCTTCTCGAGAATTACAGTGCCCTTAATTACACAGGTAATAGTTGATCATGATATATGTTTCAAGCATTAAGCTTCCAACTTTGATCATAGTGAATGAAATGTTGAAATGGGTTTGGTTTGGAACTATTATAGGATTGGTTAAGATACTGAAGAAGTATGACAAACGAACTGGTGATCTCATGCGTTTGCCTTACATTCAGAAAGTTCTTCAGCAACCTTTTTACACTACAGACTTATTGTACAAGCTAGTGAAAGAATCCGAGGCAATGCTCGATCGATTCTTCCCGGCTAAAGACGAAACCCTTGTTGAATCCGACAATCCTACGGTTTCTGATGCGGCAGAGTCTGAGAATATCCAAACAGAGCTATCAGAACACAAGTTTATGGAGAGTCTTCACATGAAAAGCACAATCGCCGCGTTGCGGGTTTTGAAGGAAATCAGGAGCGGTAGCTCTACCGTGAGCGTGTTTTCGTTACCGCCGCTTCAATTGAACGGATTAGAAGAGACATGGAAGAAGATTCCATTGTTGGAGCAAGAAGCTAAATAGAGGGAGAGTCACTTCTTTTATAGTAGAAGCTAACAGATTAAAAAACCAGACTTTTATCAATGTATGCACACAACAAAGGCAGAAGAAACTTTTAGGATCTTTGTGGACATCTTTGTGGTCGGTCTTAAGTTTCATATAGGTTACAAAAAAGTGCGATGTAAACTTTGTTTCTGTGTCGGGTGTGTAATGATTGTTATAATATACCACTTTAGATTTTTTTCTTACTCATGTATTCCTTCCTTGAGATTGATGACTTAGCAGTTGCTTATCAAAGCCACAAGAACAAAAGATGAAATACAAAGCTAATCCGGAGAGGAATGATTGAAATTCTTATCGGTAATCCAATGATTTTTTTGCTAGTTTTTTTTAGCAAGTTCTAACACCCCTGTGTAAATTTGACATAACTTTCAAGTGACTAAATAAGATAAAAGATATTTGGATTTTAAGTATAGGTCTGCTTGTAGTGGCCTGAATGATTTGAGATTCTTTACCAGCAAAACTTAAGTTAAACAAGTACTCTCATGCATGGCATAACAATTCGCCACGAAACCAAACACAAAGAACAAACTCTAAAGAAAACAGAATTGCAGAAAGTGTATCACTGCGATGCCAAACGTTACAAATGAAGATAGAATTATGGACGGTTTTTGATTTGGTAGTTGCCTAAACAAAACTTCAGTCAAAGCCTTCCAATACGCGGAGACCCATCATACCGAGCAATCAATCAGAGACTGCCTTAGATCAGGAGCTTCTCAATAGCATCCTGCAGTGCAGAATTTCATAACAAAAATGATTTAACTTAGTATTCCAAAAAGTGAAATCCGAATGGTGGTTATAGGTTTATAAAGACGGGAGAAAAAGTGAGGGCTAGTTATACCTTGAGCTGCTGGATTTGTGGTTTCAATTGACTAGCTTCGTTTGATAAGACGGAACAAGCGATGACAGATCTTGTCACACCGCATGCTCTTCCCAAGGCTTGCTTTGAAGGCACAAACACATAGGGAACATTCTACACATCATTCACACACAGGGAAAAAAAAAAGGGAAATTAGTCAGCGAGAAGATGAAAACATTTCATTCTCAAGCATAAAAGTTGCATCCTGTAGAAATCAGAAGACACAATAAGAATGAAATGATCACTTAGAAGCCTATTGGTATTGTTTCAAGGGATAAGATCACAAATGAAAGGGCAGAGTTCAGTGAACAAAACATCATATACAAACATGAATAATTATTAACAACAACTAATCAAACTAACAATCAAGAGAATCAAAACTCTAATTCAATTCAGGAAACAAAAAACTCATGAGTATCGCAAGAACTACGTATACAAAACTGGAGAAAACCAAAACTCAGTTTAAATT